ATGTCGAGTTTTCGGAAAAGGGAACCTTTCTTTATCGATTGGTTGTATTATCGCGGTTGTAAGTGCGATTTTGTTGAAATAAACGCGATTTTTCAAAGTGCTTATGTTTGCTGCAGGTTAACGAGAGCTTTGACAGTGACGGTCAAAGCAACATCATCGCGTTTCGCTCCGCCTCTATTTCAAAAAAATATGGGTTTTCGGCAGTTGTTCGCAAAAAATTTCCAGTTTTCGAAGAAGGGAAGTTTTCTTTGTCGTTTCGTTGTATTATCGCGGTTGTAAGTGCGATTTTGTGGAAATAAACGCGATTTTTCAATGTGCTTATATTCTGACGTCGTTTGCTGTCAGATTAAGGAGAGCTTTTTGCCTGAAGATTGAACGAAGGTGTTTGCGCTCAGTATTTATTTGAACTGTTCAAGACTCTTCGAAGTTTTCTTCAGGGTTTTGAGCTATTTGCAACCTTGGAAAAGGACTGACGACCAGGTAAATGGCATTTTTCTCACATTTGGCCCCATAACGGTTTGGAACTTGCAAAAAGCACCCAAAACCAAAAGTTTTTTTATCTACGCCTCACAGATAATAACGTGATTTCATTTCTCGTCTAGACTGACTGTTAATTCCTGTCAAATCCCTTGACGGTTCAAAATTTCTGAATCGAATTGAGCACTTTTTCGAAATTTCCAAAATGCTCAACTTACAGATAAACCCTTTATTAACGCCATTTTTAGTGGGGCTTCTGGACCAATGCGGTTTAAAGACACTTTTGGTCACCTCAATTTGCACTGAGAGCGCACTTCAAAATAGCCTTTTTTCGCTTCATCTCATTAACCGCGCGACATTTATGAAAAGAACTATTAAAAAAACTAAAATTTGCGAGCGGATATTTTAGGCAAAGCTTCATTTGTTTCTAGTTTCTTATTGGCAATTAGTCGATTATCTAGCTCATCAATGTATTTAAAAATGCAGGAAATAATACATAAAAATAATTACGTCTCTAAACTGGACACATCCAACTTCTCCTAAATCAGCGACGATATGATAAGCAGCCTCGGGTTGGACGAAAAATTGGACCAAAGCCATTTCCTCGCTTCTGAACAAGTCACCCATGTTGAAGCCTTTTCAACTCTCTGGAATAATTAAAAAGGTTTTTTTCCCAAATGACACTAACTCTAAGAAACTAGAGACTAAACAATAAGGAAAAAATTTAAATATCTGAGTAATTCATTGATGAACTCAAATTGCAGGAGCTTGAAAAGTGAAAATCTAGTTTGATGATAACTTTCTTTCAAATCCAGGTCTATTCTTATCTATTGTCTATCGACATTAGGTCGGACACTTAGGTTGATAAGGGAAATAATTAGATCAATTAATATTGACACCTTGTAACACAATCCCTACTTAAACAGCTTGGAAATAAAGCACTGTAACACAGTTCAGGGGAATTAATCAAATAATAATGACTCCTGACTAGATGTTAATTGATGATTGCACCTATCAGCATTTTTTGTAATTCATTAATAAGCAGCCAACAGATTTTTTCTCGGAAAACCCGGCAATCAACTAAGGTTTGAGGGAAAACTGAGCAGACTCCGAAATAAATCACGTGAAATTTGCGTCACTCTGTTTAGGGGCCACTTTATCAAAACTGTCTTACCCTGCTTCGTTCACTAATTAAACCGTGTTACTCCCAAAGAAAAAAACTAGTAAACTGTGTGAAGGCGATCACATGAAATTGCGTTCTCATTATTATCAACCTCTCAAGTAGAGTATTGTAATGCTGATAAAATAGGCGGCACTTGAAGAAAAGTTTGAAAAATTGATACAATCAGTCAATCGCAGGTCATTTTGCAGATGGCAAAGAAGACTTTACGTCCTACTGGGACTGAGGTTTGCGTGAACAAACTTAAGAGGCTTTTTATTAGGAGAAAATTCAATGAAGTAGTTATTGCTTCCTTAATTAATCAGTTATAGTATATACAAGCATAAGTCATAGCCTAATTCTACCCAGCATGATATCATCGTACATATCTCTAGTCAATGGAACATAATCTAAAGATTTCAAATCTAGGACAAACACACTCGTATCGGGTATTTTTGTGACATTAAATCCCTGCTTCTCGAACTCGAGCTTCTTGTACTTCTGAGTGGCCGTTTTGGGCAGCGTTGGCACCGTCCTCAGAAACAACGGAATCGCATAGCTGGGAAGTTTGCTTTTCAGCACTTTCGCCAGCGATTGCACTCCTATCGTGTCTTCTGAGCTTTCGATGATTGCCATTCCAGCTCGTCCCTCTGTGTTTGGCACCTGGAATCAATCAACTTGCACATGGTTCTTGATGAACTCGGCACCATAGAGTAAGTAAAATAATTATTTTACTTTCTATATGCCCGGCACCTCAATACCTGCACTCCGATGACCATGCAATCTTTCAGTCCAATCGCTTCGCTTACAATTGCCTCCACTTCATTGGTGGCCACATTTTCGCCCTTCCATCTGAAATAATTGGCTAAATCAACTATTATTGGCCTGCCTAATCGCTAGTTAAAGGTTATCAAGTTGCCAATAATTACATGGCTAATTGGCCGCAGTAAATAAACAACTAATGGTCAAAATATTGTAGCCGCGCCAGTAGAACTAGGACAGTTCAACAAACACGTGCCCAGAAATTTCCTGGATCAATAACGGTCCAAATGGTCCAATAGTATTTACCTGAAAGTATCCCCAGTGCGATCCTTGAAGTACAAATATCCATACTCATCCTCCACCAGGATGTCCCCGGTGTTGAAATAAGCGTCTCCCTTTACCAGCACGTCCCTGAGGACTTTCTGCTCGGTGGCACTCGAGTCCAGGTAGCCCTGGAAGGATTTGTAGCCTTGTTGGACGATTCTCCCCACCAGCAACCCCGGTTCCCCACGTTTGCACCTGCTGTAGAGTCCTGAAAACACAAAAACGCCCGTCAACTTGCCCAGTCACTGGAGAACATCCAGTACCTTGCCTGTTCCTGATTGGCTCGCCAGTATTCTCATTGCACTGGATTAGCACGGTTGAAACCAACCAGTTTCCCCATAGAGGCACTGATCCCACAGCCCCCAGTTTTCCGTCCATGCTGACTGGAAATCGCGTTTTTAGCCGAATTATTGGGGCCGCATCGCCATACTTACTTAAAAATGCGTTTCCTTCAGTGGATCCGTAAAATTCGTAGATTTGCCCAATGGAAAATGTGTCCTTAAACTGCTGCCAAATCTGCGGTCTGAGTCCATTTCCGCACATTTTCATCACATTGTGCTGGACTGTTGTGCCCGGTTTATGGGCAGCTAGCAGATATCGGCAAACCTCGCCAATGTAATTCGCGACCTAAAAAATATTATTTTATTACAAATTTCTTTTTGGTTATTTCGCCTCAAAATTTTTTGTCTTTAAAAAAGACAGAATTTCCACACGTCTTTTATTACAGATTGATAAAGAGTGCTCCTATTTCGCAATAAGAACGAATT